TTCATTTAGAACTATGAAACTCAGCCAACGAACTTCGGCAGCGAATTTAGAATTTTTCCTAAATTTACTGGAGCGCGCTTTCTGACCCCTTCGCTTGAACCCAAGTGCGGTTCTATATACATCAGGAACACACTTGGGTTCAAGCGAAGGGGTCAGAAAGCGCGCTCCAGTAAATTTAGGAAAAATTCTAAATTCGCTGCCGAAGTTCGTTGGCTGAGTTTCATAGTTCTAAATGAAGAGCGGCCTCGCAACCAGTTGATTTTGAAGAAATAGATTATGATCTAGATCAAACCCGCGTTCATTTTAAAATTACTAAATTTCTTCTGGCCTACGAGTTTGCTGGGGCGCGCTTTCTGACCCCCTCGCTTGAACCCAAGTGGGAACATAGATTATTACAAATGCACGTACACATTTTTTTTTGAGAATTGTTGTTCGGAATGTTCCTGGATTTCGGGAATTCAAGATTCCAGGATTCTAGGATTCTCAAATTTTCAGATTCTTCTTAGGATTCTTAAAATGAATTGGATTTCTAGATTCCTGGATTCCTGGGTTCTTTCCTAGTTTTTTTAGGATTCTTGGGATTTTCAGATTTATTGGATTCTAGGATTTTTGTCTTCTGGATTTCTGGACTTTTTCAGGGTTCTCCAATGTTTACGTTGCTAGATTTTAAATTTTATAATTTTCAGATTTTCCGGTTCTTGGGATCTCTAGAATTTCAGATCCGAGAATCTGAAAATTTAAGACACTGGAAATCAAGAAATCCAGGAATTTAGGAATCTCAACAATCACAAAAATTAATCTAATGATCTGAGAATCTGAGAATTGAGGATTCCAGGAATACTAAAAATCTGAAAAATCAAAACTCCTAAGAATTTGAAAATTTAGAAATTTGAAAATCTTAAAATCTTGAAGGATCCCGGAAGAATACAGAAATCTAGAATTTCTAAGTTTCAGATTTTTCAGATTCTTAGATCGAAAGAATTGATATTTATCCGGGAAATAAAAAATTAAGACTGAAAATAAGCTCCACAGATCGAACGGATTAGGGAGAAAATGAGAAAAAAAGTGATCAAAAATGTTCCTAGAAAAGGATTCCAAATGGGTAAACATGAGAGAAAAGTGTGTTTTGGTTGATGACGTCGTTTTAAAAGATCAGAAAAAATAAATTTTCGGAAAAAAAGTGTAACATCAATTTTTTGAAAAACACAGGATTTTTGGATTTTTTACATAGGGATTCAGAATTTGGGATTTTCATGATTTTTTTGTGAATCTAAAAACCAGTTCAAACATCAGGAACTGAATCGTGACTTACCTAAACAAGGAGATCAAACGAAAAAAAAATGGAAAAAGAGATTTTTCTGAATGATATACCAGAAAAGAAATTCGTAGTTTAACCTTGAACATTGGAAAAGGAGGGGGTTTTCATTTTCTAGTTGTGGTTTGATAAACACTGAAAATTCAGAAAAAAATTGAAAAAAAAAGTTTTTTTCGAAAATTCTGAAAACTTTCATTTTCAATTTTCGCCTTTAAAAATGTTTCAAATCTGTCAAAAACTCTCCAAAAGTGCAAAAAATTCCGACTCGAATTCCAATTTACCGTCGTTTTTGAGCGTTTTTCCAGAAAATGCAAAAATAGCTCAGTGGGATTTTCCACATCTCCCACTACCGATCTGACGACCTCGGTTCGATTCCTCTCGGTGGAAAAACTTTTTTGCTTCTTTTTTAGAGCACTTAATACCTTTTTAAGGATCCTATGATTCAAAAGTTTTGAATTTTTGAAAAAAAAATGAAATTTGAACATTTTTCAATTTTGGAAATTTTGAAAATTTCCAGCTAGAATGCTTAAAAATAGTCTAAAAATGCTAAAAACAAAAAGCAAAGACGTTTTGCCACCGAGAGGATTCGAACCCGGGTCGTAAGATTGGTAGTGGAATTCGTGGAAAATCCCACTGAGCCATTCGTGCATTTTTCAGAAAAAAGTGCCCAAAAACATCGAAAAAATGATTTTCAGGAGGGTTTTCGGACATTTTAAACGTTTTAGATCATTTTTATATTTAGATGTACGTTTTTCAGCAAAAACAATCAACGAAACGACGGAATTATTCTCATTTTTAGCTTTTTGACTACAAATTCGGACTACAAATCTGAAAAGGTTTATTTTCGAAAAATCGCAAAAAATTGTTTTCTTTTTTTCTAAAATTTATTGGAATAATCAAAAAGAACGATTTCGTCTTCAGAAATCAAATAAATGAGAGAGAGAACAGTTGTTTGGGGGACAGGAAGTTGAAGAGAAATTGAAAATTGTAGAATATGCAAAACGGAAAAAAAAGAATTAAAAATAGTGATGAGGACCGATAGGAGGAGAGATGAGAAGTTTTGAAAAAATTTTTGGGAAGCAAAATGGATAATTATAACGAGCTATTGGTTGAAGATGCATTTGACGATGAGGATGATGATGTTCCGTTTTGTCCGTTCTGAAAAATTCTCATAACCTTTTGTAAAAATCAATATATATAAATTCAAACTGTAAAATGTAGCCCTTAGAAAAAGCTTCAAAATGATATAAAATATGACAAGTTTTAAATTTCAGAATATTAGGAAATCAAGCTTGGAAACTATCAGAGCCGCCGGCCAGCTCTCAAAAAGGTGAAGGAAGCCCTCGTAAAAGTGCCAAAACTTTTGAAAAAATGATGATTTTTCAAAAATTCAAATTGGAGATTATAAATGGTAGGAAGAGCTTCAAAACGATATGAAATTCAACTAGCTTTCACTTTTCTTTAATAGAGCGTATTTAACACAAGCATCATTTTGAAACGCTAGGAAAATAGGGGGTGGCGCTTAGTAAAAGGACCATAACTTTTTTCGAATCCTATATTTTTCATAAATTTAAATTTGAAAATGAAGATTTTAAAATGTGCTTCAAAATGATATAAAACTCAAGTACTTTGAAATTTTGATTATTTGAAAAAATTGTAGTTCTAAAAGTCAATGTTAAAACCGTACTCAACTTTGAGGTCAATTATCTGGATTCATGTGAAAGATATCAAAAATGTGCCAACTGATAAAATGTTGGTGATATTATGATAAATAATTTATCAGTTGGCAACTTTTTGAAATCTCTTACAGGAACCGAGGTAAATTGTTTAGCTCAGCCAGCAAGCGCCGACTTGGGCTTCCATCAGAGTGAATACGGTAACTCTGTACAATTTCCATATTCTTGGAAAATTCAAAAACCAGTTTTCGATCTCAAGTTGAACACTACACACCTTTTGAACAACCCTGGACAATCTCTCCTGCAGCGGGACCAGCAGATTAATCGACTCCTGATCATGATCCAGAATGTACTGCCTCAACTTGGTAAGTAACGATTCAATCTCCTTATCATTTTGCTTAATTTGAAAGCTTCTCATGACATTATTCGCTGTTTCAGGGGCTTGTGACGAATTCGAAGTGGATGGAGGGATCAAGGATGGCTGTGGTACCATTGTCGGCGGTACCATTGATGTATTCGTCATCATGTGATTGATCATAGTCTGAAGATTTGGTTCCTGTGTTTGCTGATGGGAATTGACGACTTGATTCAGCATGGGTTGCGAGAATCCGGAGAACGAGTTGAAGAAGCTGGCTGCGAACTCATCTGGAGCACTGTTCCCATTCGAGATGTACGAGGAGCCCGGCAAATTATTGAGGTGTGACTCCATATCCAAATCGCGGCACTCTTTTTCAACCTCGTCGAACATATCGTTCTCATAGCATACTGGATAGCCTGTCATGGCTTTTAGATCGATGCGGTGGCGGCGTTTGAAGGCGTCGAGCCAGCCTTCAGAGCCGCGGAACGATTCGAGGCCTGCAAATTAGGATAATTAGTGGATTTCCATATAAAAATGGATTTTTAGCAAGTTATCTGAAACCTTCTAATAGAATGCCTCCTTCAAACCGTCAATATTAATCCATTATATCTCAATTTCTGTAGAAGATATCAAGAAATGGTCAACTAATAAAATATTTAAATAATGTTAGTAACATTTTATCAGTTGATCACTTTTTAATATCTATTACAGTAATCGAGATAAATTGGCTCAAAGTTAGGAGGCCAGCAGCCTACAGTGTAGTAACCCGACAGGAACAGACTTGCTAAAACTTTAAGCCCTTATCTCTCATTGTTTGTAGAAGTTATGCAAAAGTAGTTAACTGATAAAACTATTATCATAATATCAGTAACATTTTATCAATTGACTGCTTTTTGATATCTTTTACAGAAAATAAGATAAATTGGTTTAAAGTTAGCAGACGGCTGTGTTAGTTCGCGCCGGCCAGTCAACTTTAAGCTCATATGTATATCTCGATTACTGTAAGAGATATCAGAAAGTGGTTAACTGATAAAACTATTATCGTAATATCAGTAACATTTTATCAGTTGACAACTTTTCGATATCTTTCACAGGAATCGAGATAAATTGGCTCAAAGGTAGATGTTTTCTGTAAAATTTTTAAAAGAAAAACCTACCCATATCTCTGGCATATCGCATCGCCTGATCCTTGATCATTTTTCCATTGATCATTTGTCCGCTAGCTTGGCAATCCTTGAAATATTTCCAAACCAATTTATTCAGATCCACATAGTGCGTTCGGCGAATCTTGTTCTTCGGCTGTTGCTGTCTCATCATTTCTGGATTTTTCGATTCTTCTTCTGCTTCGAGCTCTTCGAGGTACTGATCAACCAGATGACGATCAATAAGGATTCGAGTGCAGAGGGTTTCTTTGATCTGCAAATATAATATTTTAAAAATTAAAGTTTGGGGGTTTTTCAATTTTCAAATTATTTTGATTCTAAAGCACCTTCTAGACCATTTGAACCTTAGAAACTGTGAAAATTGAATTTTCGGCGACTTTTTGAGCGCAATTTTGACCTCTTACACCCCTAAAACCCTAATTTTGACACCCAAAAAACCCTTACCGATCTTTCCGAACAGCCAATTAACGCTGAAATCTCAGGAATCGATTTTCCGACGTCGAAAGCGATCAGAATTTGGCAACGACGATGGAGGGAGAGTGGCTCCGAGTAGATGGTTGTCAAGAACGTTTGACCGGGCAGCGGGTCTTTGTCCTGGAATTTGTTGTTAAATCTAGGTAGATCAAAAAAGATCAAAAGTGTGCAAATACAAAAATCGATACATCTTTACCAAAAAAAGACTAAAAAAGAGGAAGAATATCTATATGACTAGAAAAAGAAGGAAGAAGAAGAAGAAGAAGGTTGTGGTTGGTGTTGTATGAAGGAGAAAAAATTGGAAAGAGAGAGAGAGAGAGAGAGAGAGAGAGAGAGAGAGAGAGGGAATGCAAAAAGAAGAAGAAGAAGAAGAAGATGGGTCTCTGTGTGTCACACAAAGAGAGAGAGAGAGTCTCTCTCTCTCTCTCTCTCAGGCAATCGAGGGAGAGAGAGAGAGAGAGAGAGAGAGGGGGAGAGGGAGGGAGACACGTTGTGTGGTGTGTGTGTCTTTCTTCTCTCCCTGTATTCCACACAGAGAGAAAAGAGAGAGAGAGAGAGAGAGAGAGAGAGAGAGGGTGCTGTGTCCCTGCCTCATGTGACCGCATATAAACACAGAGAGTCTCTCTCTCTCTCTTTGTGTTGAGAGAGAGAGACTCCCTCCCTCTCTCTCTCTGTGTGTAGGGAGAGAGAGAGAAAATTCGCTATTTAGGAAAAGTTACCAAAATCTAATAAATTCTAAAAATCATGCACAGTCTAGTTAATTGTGAGCTAACAGATGT